CGCCCCCATCGCCGTCTCCTCCACCTTCCTCTCCATCCTCTCCTCCACCCTCCCCTCCAGCTTCCCCTCCACCTTCCCCTCCACCTTCCCCTCCACCTTCCCCTCCACCTTCCCCTCCACCTTCGCCTCCACCTTCCCCTCCACCTTCGCCTCCACCTTCCCCTCCACCTTCCCCATCACCCTCTCCTCCGTCACCCCCTCCATCGCCGCCACCCACCCCATCGTCGTCACCACCCCCGCCACCGCGCCGGCCGCCAACCTCCCCATCACCTCCGCCCTTTCCACGCCCTCCACTTCCTTCCCCACGCTCTCCACCCCCACCACGGCCGTCCCCGCCCATTAGGCCACCTCCCCCCTTCAAGTCCCCGCCACCCCCAATCCGACGTCCACCTCCGCCATCACCTCAACGCGCCCCTCCACCTCCTCCCTTTCGTCCACCTCCACCCCAGCGATCTCCTATCCCCACCACAACAGAGACCGGCGATGCCTATCCCCCAGCGCCACCCACCGCACCGAATTTCCCACCCGTGGCGCCCTCTCCCCCCCCAATCTCTCGACCACCTAAAGCACCCGCGCGTGACGTACGAGACGTTGGCAGGTGCGGCATGCCGTAAACAACATTTACTGAGGGCTTCTCCTGAGTTGCCATACGGTGGCATTCATGCATGGGCTGTGGGGCTACACTCGCGGAGCCGTGCCTGCCGAGTTGGCCGGCGGGTGATTGGCAGGGTTAGGAATGGATGTGGGAGAGAACGTGAGGGAGAGGGGGGAAGATATATGATGCAAAAGCCGCAGCAAATACCTGGTGACGCCCAAAGCCACAACTGCCCTAGGGGATTCACAGCGCCAACACCAGGTCCGGATCCCGGGAGATTGGGGGTTACGGAACCGGCTTCCGTGGCACTGGGTGAACGCTGTACGGGGTATATGCATAAAACACATTTGGAGGCCACACATATCACGCGAGTGTGAGTGGAGTTACGGTGAAAAAGCAGCGGAACCGACATGCGTACTGACCGGCGTGCAAGTGGCTGGTGTCTGGTTATGTGGGAGCGAGCAACGCGAGGGGACGAAGTTGAGGCGAATGCTCGTGTGTGCATGTGCACAGCAATTCTCAACACGAGTTGTCCGTATTCGGGCCATATAACGTTTTTCTGACTTGATGACCAGCCGCCGCGTGCCCTACCCCGGAATATAGAGCTACACTCGCACACCCTTTAGGGGAGCCCAAAAAGAGACAGGAAAGAGACTAGAAAGGAACACCTTTCTAGTTCCGGAAATTGTGCAGCTGACCCGTTCGTCCTAATCAAAAGCATGTACATGCTGGTTATATTCCGACCACATTGTTGCCAATCGCACAGGTACGACCAGATCGGCATCGGCATGATCGTTGCCGTACATTTGGTTCAAATTCCCGGCACGGACCGTTATCTCTTTATGGAACGTCCTTCCGGCTACCACCCGGACAGCAGCCGAAGCATTGCGGGCTTTTTCGACTTGAACACCCGAAAGTTCACTCACGTGTTTTCTCCTGATGGGTTATTTTGCTGCGGCCACACGCTGCTCGACACGGGGGATGTTGTGATTGTGGGCGGACATCAGGTGCGGCTGGGGGGCTCGGGGGGGGCTCGGGGGGGGCTCGGGGGGGCTCGGGGGGGGCTCGGGGGGGCTCGGGGGGGCTCGGGGGGTTCAGGGGGGGCTGAGGCTGAGAAGGAGAGGGGAGTGGGCGAGTGGGCGAGTGGGTGGGTGGGTGGGGGTTGGAGGTGGAGGTGGAGGTGGGGGTAGGGGAGGGTGCGTGGGCCCTTATGGGTTGTTTGTTTGGATACCTTCCCAGGACTCCTGCCACTGCCGTCCGCAACTAAGCTTTGTATTTGGGAAGCTTCCCCATCAAACCATCCCCACAACACAATCCTGACTGTCCTCGCCTCCCTGGCATCTCAGCTTCTTTCATGTGCGGGGGTACAGTGTGCCACGGGGCAGCACGGTAAGCAGCCCCCACCTCCATTTTCTTCGATTTCTCCTTCATTTTTCTTCTCCTTCCCCTGCTCTTCCTGCTTACTTAGGTCTTTCACGTCTCATTTGCGCTCATGAACTAGCAGCCTATGCCGCGTTTCGCACTCCATCCCTCCCGTTCCCATTCCTCCCTCCCTTCTCTCCGTCCTACAACCAACCCATCACACGTTCTCGCAGGCCAATGCGGGCTATCCGGACGGAATGAAATCCATTCGTACATTCAACCGCTCATGCACCGACCTGCAACTGCGCAAGATTCGGGAGATGGGCTGGCGCCGATGGTGGGTGGCAGTTATGGAGGTTACGGAGGTTTCACGCCCTTGTTATTCCTGTTCTGTAGCATGCATCCATCCATCCATCCATCCATCCATCCATCCATCCATCCATCCATCCATCCATCCATCCATCCATCCACCCATCCATCCATCCATCCATCCATCCATCCATCCATCCATCCATCCATCCATCCATCCATCCATCCATCCATCCATCCATCCATCCATCCACCATTTTCGCAATTAGGAAGTCATGTAATGGATGCCTGTCAGCCTGATTCATGTGGGCTACTCACCTAACCCCCCCACCATGCGCTTCTCGTGTCCATCCCATGGTGCAGGTACCCCACCCCCACACTCCTTCCGGACGGCAGGGTGCTCATCATGGGCGGAACGCAGGGTGTGGGGGCCGGTACGGCAAACAACCCGTTTTGGGAAATGTACGACCCAGCTACAAATAGTACGAGGCCATACGCCATGCGTTCTATGTACTTGGACCAGTCAGAGCAGGTGAATGAGACGGCGCGTATGATTACCGTTACATAAGGCACAGGGAATGTCACAAGGCCCTGTGCGCAGTGGTCTGCTGCACCAGCGTTACTCGGGCGACAGCGTCTGCTTTTCCTCCCCTTCGTCCTACATTTCCCCTTCACCAGCCGCTAGAATGTGTGCCTCACCTCCCCCTACCTTTTTGCTCTCCCTTCCTTTGCCTTCTCCTCCTCCTCCCCCCCTTTGCAGATCTACTACCCCTTCAATTATGTGCTTCCCGAGGGCCTTCTATTCACGTTTTGCGGCCGCTCCGGCTGGATTATGGATTGGCGGAATAACAACTGGCTCCAGGACGTGCCCAGGTTGCGGGGGTACGGCAGCACGCAGTTCCCCTTCACCGGTAGCTCTGTAATGCTGGGCCTGTATCCCGAGAATAACTACCAGGTTCGTTGGCGGTTACGGTTGGCGGCTGGGGGCCAAGGAAGGAGGGCTAGCGGGTTTAGGTAGTTTGGAAGGGGTCTGCGTGGAGGGGATGAGAGAAGGTATGCGACTGGCTCGAGGAGGTTGCGGATTGGCACGCCGTGGACGGCTTTCACGCGCCATAAAATTGAAGGGGACCGCACCATACGCCTTTTCCAGACATCCCAAATCATCGTCACCATTGGCACCATTAATTGCACCTTCGAGGTTGGATTAGGTGCCGGTAAGACAAGTAGGAATAGGTTTCCGCGAGCCGGAAAAGGTCGGTCCGGGCCCCTCCCAGTCCACGTAGGATAGGTGGGTGGCGGGGGGTTGTCCATCCTGCGGTCGCCCCCGGTTGCAGCTGCATGTGCCCTTCTCGTGGATTCCTTTGACCTTTTAACATATATGATGCAGTCTTAGGATATCACCGGCCAACATAACCTAAGGAGACAGATACGCATAACGCAGATGATTGCTGCGAGGAGCACGGCGAACATTGAAGATTGAGAGCCCATAAATCCTGCCGCATAAAACCAAACAAACTTTTAAGAGCGAAATCTATATGCTCATATCAAGCTATTTCATATTTTCATTCCAAATCGTGCATTAGGAAATTGCGTTTCTGAACCCTCCTCGGCGCTGTGGAAGGCGTTTATGCTGAGATGAAGGTTGTCCGTACGTCCGTACTTACATATGGACCGTCGCAGTCCTAGAAGACGGGTGCAGCCCGAGGCGCTTCACGCTGGGGGTCCCCGACGCCAAATAAAACCGTAAAGCCAACTTGCGACTTGTCAGCTGCTGAGCTCCAAAATGACCACCTACGGGGCTTTGCGGTGGCGGGCTGGGACTTGGTTGTGGCGGGCTCCGTGTTTGCACAACATGTAACTACACCCATAACTGTCTGCTCATAACCATTTTCTCACGGTTAACGGCTAACGGATAACGGCTGCCTGGCATGTTAACATCTTCCCACGGCGGCCAGGTGGAGATTATGACCTTTGGCGGACAGCGAGAAGCGGCTGTCAAAGATTTATCCTTCATTGGTAACAGGGGTAGCGGCCGACTGGCTCTGACGTACAACCGTACGAGTGGCAACTACTCGTTCAGGGGTTGGGAGTTGGACCTGCTGAGCATTGGCCGTGTGATGCCGGACTCCGTATTGCTGCCGAACGGCAGGGTCATTATTCTGAACGGCGCATGGGTGAGCCTGGGTGGTTGGGTTGGGTATTGAGCGGCCCCGTGATGCCATGTTGCGGGAGTTGTCAGATTAGTCGGTGACGAATTAATTATTCACATGGCACACAGGTCAACATGGGCTCCGCACGCTGTTTATGTATGTGTGTGTATTACACCTTGAGTCGCCAAGTACCCTCCGAAGGTGTGTAGTGGGCCAAGGGCCACCCTAGGGCTGTCCGAAATGGTTAGGTGACATAAAAACCTTGTGTTATATGTGTGTATGTATCAACGCCGCCTCGGTGTTATACATATATGTTTTCCCTGCATAAATTCAGGACCATATCCGTGTCATATACGGATATATGTATGGATGGGTGGATCGTTCGGTCTCTACCCCCCCAGCCTTCAGAACGTCCCAGCCCTGCCCACTCTCAGCCTCTCCTTCCCCCATTGTTGTCTGGCCTTCTCACTTCCCCTCTGCCTCTTCTCTCCTCCTTGTGGCCGTTCCTCTCTGGGGCAGTCTACCGGACACTCGCTGGGGTTTGGATTATGTACGGACACCCAGTCCTTGTCAAGAGGGTCGTCATTGGTTGCCTTATTCCTACTGACGTCATGGCCTTTGTCCTTTCCCCCCTCCCTCCGCACTTGCACAGACCGGACTGGCGGGCGACTCCGCGAACGGTGGTGAAAGTCGCGCCAACTACCCCCTTCTCTTCGCGGAGGAGTACAACCCGAATGCGCCGCTGGGCAGCCGCTTCCGGAGGATGGCTACAACTCTCATTGCCCGAATGTACCACTCAACCGCCGGATTAACCACCAACGGTACCGTTATCGTGGCCGGCTGCGACCGCTGCTACAAGTACCAGGTGCAGGACGGCTATGACTTCGATCCGTCGCCCACATCAAAGGTGAGCGCCTTTCTAAGCTCTGGTTCTTCTTTCCTCGGGTGCATGTATGTGCTGCGTGGTGCTGTGTGGTGCTGTGCTGTGCTGTGCCATCCTCGGACGGGTGGGTCCATGGAAAATTCCTATTTAGATTAGCCCGTGCGAATTTTAGGTCGGGATTATGTAATTAAAGCTTTAATTGTTTTTTAATCACGGCTGGTGTTGTTTGTAAAGGCGGGTACAGTGCTGTGCCTTTTTTGCAAGCGAAAAAACAGCGGTTATGTAGCACGGCCCTCCTGGGGCTCGGTTGTGCCGTCCTTGAGGAGTAATTCCTCGTGGCCCCGCGGGGTACAGCCAGGCCAGGATTGTACGTACCGGGTCCACAGTCCGTCCAACCTCCTTTTGAAACTTCCAGACCCCCAGATCCCCCACCCCAGATTATGAAATGTGTATTACCAATTTTACACCAATGTTCTGGGGCGTTGCCAATATTTGCCAGGGTGTTGTGGCGTATGGCCAGCCGGCTTCCATGCGGGATGTGCCTCAATGCGCTCAGCGGCGTCATCCAACCATCCTTTTTATATGCATCCCCCTTCTTGCTCTTTCTCCCCCTCCTCCTCGCTCCTCTCTCCCTTCGCTCTCTCTCCCCGTCCCGCCCTCTATGTCTCCCCCTCCCCTCTGCCCCCAAGATTATTACGCTGCTGTGACGGCCCATTTTCTTATCTGGCCGCCAGTTGATGATCCCCCTGGCATGCCTGATAACAAACATGACCTACCGTACCTATTGACCCTGCCCCCTTCTTCCTCCACAATATCGTCATTTCTTAAGGGTGAATTTGTAAAAGAGCTTCATGTGGTCCTCCTTGTCGGCTTCCCCCACTGCAGGCCGAGTACCGCGTCGAGATCTACTCACCGCCGTACTTCTTCATGGACGAACTAAAGCCCCTGATCGTCAACACCTCCAGCACCAGCATGGCGTACCAGGGGCTCTTCACCATCACGTACACCTTCCCGGCGGGCTGGGGAAACAACGCGCTCACGCGTGTCGTACTCGTGGCGCCCAGCAGTACGACACACTCGTACAACACGCACCAACGGCTGCTGGGTTTGGAAATTGTGAGCAATTCAGTTGGAGATGTCAACGGTGTCGCCATCGTCCGCGGCCCACCCAACATCAACATCGCGCCGCCGGGCATGTACATGCTCTTCCTGCTCAACGGCGACGTGTACTCCAGGGCTGTGTGGGTGACACTCATACGACCGCGACCGGGGGAGCCAGGCTACATGACCTAATCAGGCTACATGACCTAATCAGGCAAAAACGTTCCAAAAGTTTTTTATCTGGGCCACTAATCTTTGCTTCAAGGCCGGCCGACTCTACATCGTGAAGGCTGGTACTGGTACTGGTACTGGTACTGGTACTGGTACTGGTACTGGTACTGGTACTGGTACTGGTACTGGTACTGGTACTGGTACTGGTACTGGTACTGGTACTGGTACTGGTACTGGTACTGGTACTGGTACTGGTACTGGTACTGGTACTGGTACTGGTAACAAACGTACACATGGGCGGTGTTTGATAACGCCCCCGCGTCTTTGGGGCCTGGTGTGATGTGCGCATATGTATTGTGGTGGGTTTCTGTATCCGTGAGTTGCTGTGTGGTGGTTGGGACACGTTGATGGGTGTTGGTCATAACACGAATTCGACTACCAGGGGGCCCAGCATAACACGCCGCGGATGGTTGGTGTTTGTATGTATATCTGTCTGTAGGGTAGCGTGGGATGGGGACCCTACGTGTCTGTAGAGGGTTTGAAAGCTGCTGTGTGACAGTTGAATAGAAAGATGCTGCTGCATCCACAAAGCACAAACTCAAACCAGCACATCTGCCACCACCGTGACGGCGGAGAACGACATCCCATCATGCTTCTCTTCTTTGTGATTGTTTTCCTGCTGCTGCTTCATTCTGCTTCTCCTGGACATCCTCTTTAATGCTCAATGTTACGTGACGGCGACCGACCG